TGGGGCATTATTGGTCTATATTAGTTATGCACTAAATCACGGCTTGGAAGAAATTGGGGTGGCAAGAGTCAAGTAATTAACTCAAAAAAAAATCAGGACGCTATCCCTGAGGGTGAGAGGATCTTCAAAACGTGTTATCTGTGTTGAATTTCATGTGCATGCATTCTAGAAGGCATTTATGTAGAAATAGCAACAATTTAAAACTAACTTTGAAACTTCGCAAAAGGATGTATCTAATACATAAGCTAACATGAGGAGGAAATAGAAAAACAACAGCAGCCGGACCAGAGACCATCTGACATGACATCGGACAACAGGGAGTTTCAGGTAAACTTAGAGTTCACTTAAATCCAAAGTCCTCATTTTATAGATGAGAACACTGAGGTCCAGAGAGGCTGAGTGAGTTTTCTTCTGAGGTGGATAAAATCAGTGGAATAGCCTGTTCTGATCTCCAGGTGTGACTGTTCATTGGGTCTAGAGTTGACCTCTATGATTCTCTAGTTACCTTTTAGCCCACTTTGCTATTTGAGGTTTCAAATTATATTTTTGATGTTTCCGGTAGGGGGTGCAGCATCTTCTACTATGTGCATCTACATTGCATGCCTGTGGAGCAACACAGAGATTGTTTTCTGATAAAAATCAGCCAAGTACTAGGAGAGGCAGGACTTTAGAAGTGGAGGAGATGCAGAAGGAAGCTTAGGTTACTGTGGAGTGTGCAAAAGAAGTCCTGTGGATTTAGATAACACCACACACAAACCGCATGTAATATTCACTTGATGGCAAATCAACTAGAGGGATCTAACAGCATTGACCCATTCTCTGGTCTTCTAGCATCCATCATAGTTTTGTGCTCCTTTTCCATGAAATACGTTTGTTGTTGGAAAGTAGGTGCCCAGATAAGGACTGCATTTCCTCTAGCCTCGAGATGAGACCAAATGACTGCTGGCCAATGGAACCGAGTAGAAAGGACTGACTCCAGTTCCAGGTTAGGCTTCCAGCTGCTCTGGGCATGTCGATGGAACAGAACCACCACCTCCACCCCATTACCACCAATTCAACTTTACATGAATTATAAGCGAGAAATAAACTTGGACTGTGTTAAGCCATTGAGTTTCTGGGGTTTAACTGTTATTATAGTTAACAATGACTTTAATACAGTCAATGACATCTAACTGGAATTATGAAATTCAATTTCTACTTAGAGTAATTGAAGCAAAGGTTGTGGAGGAGGGGAAGGGGGCAGCACACCATGAAATCAGAGATCCCCAGTATGAGTTAGTTAGTCAGTCAATCAGTCCTAAGGTCAGGGTGTAGCGTGGGCAGCAGTTGCCTCCCTCTCCCCACAGAACACCCTGAGAATAGGAAGTTAGAGTAGTCGCATCTTGTTACTTACAAAACATTACCCCAAAATGTAAACTACCCCCTGGATCCAAACTCTCTACAATCACCAGGTTTCATAAACTATAATCTGCTTTCTGGAAAAAATATTAACCTGCTAAAATTCCCTGCACAGAGAGGCAACTTTTTCTGGGAGGTATTCCTGAACTCATTTTGCCAACTTCCAGATGAACAAAACTAAAGTTTCTTTTTGCTTCTTCCAAAAATATACATTATCACATAACATTTACAACTTGAAAAAGAATCCTAGAATATTTTCATGAATAATAATTAGAAGAGTAATGTTCACATAGGAAGGGCGCCTTTTCTCTGCTGTGTGCATAGGACCCTGAGACCCTGGGATTTACTTATGAGCCAGTCACATGGAACTTGGTCAACTCCTCCAAAATGCTCCCAGCGCTCACAGGGGCTGCCTTGGTGTTTGGAAGGAGGTGATGCCAAAGCAGTTGGTTTTCTGGATTTTGACTTTCTTGTTTTAAAGTGGTATTTGCAAATACTACCCCGAGGGCAATGGTTAATGGATTTAACCTTTGGGTCATGGGGGCCAGGAAGCAGCACTCACGGAGGCTGTGTGTGTGTGTGTGTGTGTGTGTGTGTGTGTGTGGTGTGGGGTGCTGACTGAATCTGCCACTCACCTCTCAGGCCTTAGGAATACCAAAAAGATTCTCACCTATGATTGGTGATGATGGTGGGAGTGGTCCTTAAAACTTCTGTATAGAAAATCACAGCGGAACAGACCAGAAGGACCACTGATGGGGCAAGGTGAACCTGGACTCAGAGTTCTACAGCAAAGGCTGTCCACAACACTACTTACTACTCAGGAGAGCTTCTTCTAGTTGGCCTCCTCAAACCAGAGAGCAGTTGTACTGCGGGTAAGGCACTGCTAGGGTTCTCTGCAGGACACACATGCGATGTTAAGGAATCTAGCTGTGGGCAACACGGAGATGAAAAATAGTTGGCCACAATCAGTCAGGTGAGAGGTAGCACAGTGTAAGGACAGCAGGCTTTGAAATGTAACAGACCTGGGTTCAACTCCTAGTTTTGCCACACTGTTTTTCTGGGTCGTCTTGGACAAGTTCTTTCTCTAATCCTCCCCATCTATAATTGGGTCTGAACACTCACCATACCACCCAGGACTGCTGTAAGCATTCAGTGAAATAGCATGTCTGATAAGAAGAAGGCACTCGATCAAGGAAGGGCAGCCACAGAAGCCTTTGTGCCATGGTTAGTGGAACTCAGAGGGAAGGGTTCTGTAGGTCCCAGTTGTTTGGGCGTTACAATAATAATAAAATTCATTTTAGCACTATCTCTCTATGGAGTACTTCTTATCTTCTTTTTAATTCTGGTATATCCTAAGAAAAGATTACAAACAATTCTAAAATGGAAACTTCACTCTACTTCAATACAGCAGATTTCCCTGGGCTCCTGGTTGGGCACAGAGTGAGTGGCTGGAAGAGGGGAATCTGTGGACGTGGAGAGTAAGTTAGTGGAAAAAAGCACTCAGCAGGAGCCAGGCTGGGGCAGTTGTGCCAATGCTGGAGAGAGGAGAAGTGGAGGAAGCTGTGCTAGGTAAACGTTTATGCCCTTTCTTCCCTTGCCTTTTCTAAGCCATAGTGCTATTAATTTTGGTTGCTCTATTGACATTTCAAAATGTTAGTCTTCCCTTCTCCTAGTGTTTTTATTGTCAGAGGGATCCACCTGGTTCACCTTTGCTTCTGCAGAGGCTCAACACTGCCCTCGTGTTTTCAAACATAAAGCTACCCTCAATGGATTTCCAAGGTGAATCCTGCAGCTGCATCCATCCCAGACTCTGGGGCTTTGAATGCCTGTGGAGAACACCTGCAGATGCTGGGCCTCGCCATGACCACCGGAGGCTCAGGGGTTAGCACACCGAGTCCTCACCGCCAGGAGGCCACAGAAACTCCCAGTGCTGACAGCAGGTGGGAGCCTCTCAGGCGGCATCCACCAGCAGCCTCTGCCCTGCTGGAGAGTGCCAGGCTTTGAGCCCACCTGCCTAGGGACTGCCTACCTGCTGGGGAGGGGTGAGGCTGCAGAGGGCCACTGGGCTTTTGGGAATTGAGGTTCTGGGAGCCCCAGGCCTTAGTCTCACTGTAGCCCAGTTCTGGTATTTTCAAACTTTTCTCCAGCAGAGATAATGCTAATATCCCACAGTTGCAGCATTGTTCAGGGCACTAGAAGAATTGGGGCTTTCTCTCCAAATAACAATGAGTATTTCTTCTGAGCCTTTGTGATAAGAAATGAGAAAGAAAATCATTCCTAGAGGCAGAAGCAGAAAACCGTCTCAACAAAAGGCAGAAATGTTTCATTACGCATTATTACTCTTTCAGATGAGCATTTCCGCCAGCCCATGCTAGGTTTAGAAGAAAGTGGCTTTTAAGTCTTAGATTATTATGGCCACATCTTGTTTTAGGAAGGAAACATCTGATCTGGGGCAGCTGCCGGATGAGCTCTTCTGTGCTTTTGTCCATGCTCCCAGCTGGCAACCTGCTCCCTTGAAGTGCATTGTGATGCTGAGTTTTGCCACAGGCTGTCTTTTGCGGGTGGCTGTGATATGGGAATCCCTGTGAGGAGCAACCGCCGCCCCTCCAAGAGAAAAAACCCAGGTGTTTCTACGGAATGTGGTTTTACAGTGAGTTTCTCTGGTATCCTTTGAACAATGCACATATTTCCTCTGTGAAACAGTTGCAAAGTTAGAATTGCAGGACTCCAGAGATAAATTTCAGTAATTCCCTCTTCCTTTTATTAACTAAAAAATAAACAAAACTTAAACCTCGTGGGAGCAGCATTTAATACACAGAGAAAGATAAAAGAAGCAGGAATTACCCATATTCTGCAAGGTTTAGTTAAAAAAAAAATCAACACTTATTTACAGAAAGTGTCTGAGTGGAGTTCTGGCTGTTCTGAATGAGCAGAACCTACGCAGATGTGAAGGAGCTGTCTGGACCTGCGGAGCCGCTGAGCCTTGTGGTTGAGTGGGCAGGCTCTAGATTATTTCACACTCAGCAACCCATTCCCCTGGGTGCCCCTGGGCAAGCCATGGATCCTCTCCATGCCTGGTAGGAAAAATGGGGATAACAATAGCAGCCCCTTTATCATGGGGTTACTATGGATGCAAAGCAAACCATAGGTCCCCAAGGCCAGGTCCTTAGGGACCTTTGGTTACTCTTGTTATATTAGGGGGCCCTGCAGTTGCACCTGTACCAGTATGTAGAAGAGATGTTGATATCTGCACACATTGTTAACAGTTGGGGGGAACAACCTTTTAGTCTCATTTCTATTTTCCTCTTTCCCTCACTTTGGCTTGTCAATCTGTTTCTTCTTTCTCCTGTTTTCTATCCCCTGCCCTGCCCCCTGTCTCAGCACTTCACTTTCCTGCCCTCTCAGAGCTGAAGCCTCAGTGGGAGGTGCCTGGTCCCAGAGAAAGGGGCCCCTTCTGGGCAGCCTTGCAGGGCAGTCTCAGGGTCGGCCCCTGTCTCTCCAGTTGCTTCCGTGCTGAGCACAGCCACTGACCTGGTGCAGCCTGGTCCTCGGGCTCTCCCCTTCTTGCTCGCTGTAGTACATCTCCTGTATGCCGTTCTTCCTGTGCTTAGTGATAAGCATGTCCCCTCGCTTCCTGGAATTAGACAGTCAGCTTCCCTCTCCCAAATCCCCAGTTCTCCAAGCTCAGAATTCTCTCCTTCCTCTTTGGTCTAATTTCCCTTTCATCTCTCACTTTGCAGACTTGGCCCAAATCCTTAACTCCGTGTGCATCTTAGGCAGCCTCCCTAGCCTCTGCCCTCGGCAACCCTGCCTCGCCCCCACCCCATTCCTGTCCTTTCACAAACAGCAGAAATTCTATCACCGTCTCACTTGGAACAGTATCAAATCTCTCCTCCTTCTAACAAAAGCATCATTCCTGTCATTTATCCTGAGAGAGAAAAGCACATCCCCAGAAAAGAAAGTCATTTCAGCTGTAGCTCTTTGGCAAAGACTCTCATGCCCCTTGAATCATATAGAAGGTCCTCATCCCCCACTTCACACCGGCCCAACTCAGAAGCCTCCTACCTACCATTCCATAGTTTTGACCAGATCTTCATCCTCTAGATTCCCCATTCTCTCCCAAAATGGCTAACAAAGTTTTGTTCTAGCTCAAATAGGCTACCTGGGAAGAGGCAAAAAGGTTAGATTCAGTTGTGTCTTCCAGTGATGACTTTTGATTCACACCTTTTTCTTCTTTTTTAAAAATAATGATTTGAGTTAATCAAACAATTAAGGGCTTACCCTACAGAGCCCCTAATATTCTCTTAATTTTGGGGAGGTCTAATTTGCTTTGTCCAGTTGGGGTGTGTGTGTGTGTGCGCGTGCGTGTGTGCATCTGTGTACCTGATGTTTTAGTACGCTTTCTCTTTGTACTCAAACTCTCTCCCTCATAGCAATATGAAGAATGATGATTGCTTTTTGTTGTGCCTAGTAAGCTGCTCTCTACTCAATGAATATTGTTACTTGACTCCCATTACAACTCTGGGGGAATCTGGATTCACAGAGCAATAGAACCTTCTTACCAAATCTGGGGTGTGATTATAATTTTACTTTTGAAGCACCCACTTCCCAGAGGAATTGCCCATGATGGATGCCACTGTCAGGAACCCAGATGCGCACGTCATGCATCAGCCGAGAAATCACATAAACAGCCCTCCCAGCAGGCCAGGGCTGACGCACCCATTGCTCCCCTATGGAAAGAGATGTGTCAAAAAACTCAGGGCAGCAGCAAGAAAGAGGCAGAGAAGAAGGAGGTGGGAGAGGATGGGTTTTTGCTGGTCCACCCAGGATTTTTCCTTCCTCATCTTCCTCTGAGGGCAGCAGCAGCAGCAGGCTAAGGTTTGGGTTTGTGGTTCAAAAGCTGTGTGACAGGATCATGGGGAGTTGTCTGGAAACATTTCTCCTGGGAGTGTGCTGTCAGCTCGTTTTCATAGTGCACATGAAGGGAAACATTCTGCTCTATACACATGCCTTTATCCTTATATAGGTACAGGTGATGTCTACGTTTTCCTTTGGGATGAATGTGGCCTACCTAGGCTAAGATCACGCTATGACATTTAGTCTCTTTGAAGAGCAAGTCTGTGTTGATTCCAGCAGGATGGGGCAGCAGGGGCTGGTTGCTAAGATGTCTGAAAACAGAGGATACTACTGGAGTGGAGGAGTGGAAGTGGCCCAGCGGGCCCACTGGTAGCCGTGAGTGTTAGGATAGCTTATCGGTAGCGGCAGGCCAAAGCATTGACATTCTTGACCACATAAAAGCCCATGGTGACTGGAGGGATGACCAATGTCCGGCCGGCCCGAAGGGGGCGGGGCTTCAATTCTGGGAGGGTCCCGTCGTCCACCATCACTAAGGGCTGGCCATTCAGTTGCACTGACCTACAGTGAGGAAAAACAGTATGGGACTCATTATTGCATTATAAGGGAGCCATTGCAACAAAGCCTAGCCTCAGATGGCCTGGCAGTGTCTGATACACACATACAGCTAACACTTATTGGCACTGGCTATGCCCTAGATTCTGACCTAGGTGCTTTACTTTAATAACTCATTCAAACATCCCAACAACCCCCCATTCCCCACCCCCCGAGGTAAGGAACTATTAATATCATTATCCCCATTTCATCTAGAGTGGCTAGGTGACTTGCCCCAAGTCACACAGCTTGAAGGTCCAGGGTTTGAGCCCAGGTAGTCTACCTCCAGAGACACATTTAGAGAAGTGAGAAGTCTGTGACGCAGAAACTGTAATGTTTCGTTCCTAATTTTTTAAAATCACAATATCAGCACAGTTTGACTTTTTCACCTAAAGAGTTTTTACCTGTGGAATGATACATGGGCTTAAGATGACTTCAGAAATCTATATAATTCATATCTCATTAATTTACTTGACAGATGAGATAACCTTGCTTGTCTAGGGTTATACGGAAGGGAGACAGAGACATAGGTAACAACTCTACTTTTTCTTTTTTTTTTTTTTTGAGACAGAGTCTCGCTCTGTCCCCCAGGCTGGAGTGTAGTGGTATGATCTCGGCTCACTGCAAAACTCTACTTTTTCTAATTTAAGAATGAGTTTTGGCTGGGTGCAGTGGCTCATGCCTGTAATCCCAGCACTTTGGGAGGCCGAAGAGGGAGGATCGCTTGAGTCCAGGAGTTTGAAATCAGCCTAAGCAACATAGCGAGACCCCATTTCTACAAACAAAATAAAAGCAAAATTAGCCTGGCATGGTGGCTACTTAGGAATTTGAAGTAGGGAGGATCACCTGAGCCTGGGAGGTTGAGGCTGCAGTGAGCCAAGATTACACCACTGTACTCCATTCTGGGTGACAGAGAGAAACTCTGTCTCAAAAAAAAAAAAAAAAGAAAGAGTTTTCATATTTAATATTAACAGATGTTTCCATTTAGCAAAACAGCAAAGTAGGTGATAAAGTAGGCACTTGTGATCGCAATTCGCCTATCTTGCTTTTATTCTTTCTGTATAGCCAGCCACCTTCACCCTGAAAAGGTGGACCACATACATAGCAAACTGAGAAAAGAGAAACCACTCATCTTATGCTGGATGAGAGGGAAATGCCACCTATCCTTGACATCTGGTACCAGAATCCTGATAATGTTCCAGCTGTTTCTGACAGCCATGCACCCAGGTGGAAGCTTAGTTTTATGGGTCAATAGGAAAAGCCAGAAACAGGCCACCAGCTGGAAATAAGATGGTGAGTCACCCTCAGCAAATCAACATTGCATAGTGATGACTGTTTCTGGGCCTTGCCCAACCTCCAGTGTGATAACATTGCTGTGATATCATCTGAGCTGTAAAGAGAATAAAATGTTATAAATTGATATAAAGGTCTTTGTTTAGTGTTTCTTTGTGGTATGAGTGATAGACAAGGTTAGAGAGAGATAATCAGACCCATGCCCAATAGAGCAGTGAATTCCCCGAGATAAGTGTGTTGTAAATTGCTCCCAGTGGAGAGCTAGGCAGAGAAGAGATCCAGGCCTGGCCCCACACGGCTAAGTTTGGGCTAGGTCCAAACTTAGGCCAGAGGGAGCAGGCCCCCTTCTCTTGCTAGAATGACTGAGTGAATAAGTGTGTAGGAGGCTCCTGTATGGAGAGCGAGGCCTGCCTCTGGAAGGCGTGGGGATGGGAGAATTGAGATCTGAAGGTCAGTGTTGACTGCATCAGATATGCAAGGAGCTTTTGCTTCCAAATATGAGAAGTGACCCTCTCTAGTGAAGACAGCCTACTCATTGCAGTGGAAGGCAGGGTAAGGAGAGTGGTTCAGTTAAGTTACAAAAGAAGCCCAGATGGGTCTTCACAGTGTATTTTCATTATTTTGTTTCAGGTGCTGTGAATATTTATCACCCAGACATAAGCACAGTCAAATACAAGTTCAATAATACTGATTAATCTTTCTAAGGCACACTCAAATTTATATCAAGTCTCTGCTCGAAAACCTTCAGTGGTTTCTCCCATACACAGAATTCGGTGCAAACCTTTCTTCTGAAGAATTAGGTAATGCCCTTTTAGGTTCAGATGATCCCAGAGTATTGACATCTTTGGGTTCTGGGGAGTGCAAAACAATGTGTGATAAGCAAACCTTTAACAATCTATACTAATAAGGAGTAGTTATCCTGGGACAGGCCCTATTCTGGTTTCTTTATTGGTTGGTTAAAAAGCTAAGAGTAGAACCAGGAAGCATGGTGAAGATTCTCCACCGAAATCTGTAATTCCAGGAGCCAAGTCGCTAACTAGCTAGATGGCTTTGGCAAATCCCCTAACCTCCCTGCCCTGTTGCTTTTGCATCTGTAAGAACGTTATGTAGGCTATAACACCAAAGAAATGAAATAAGAAATATGAAAGTGCTTTGAAAGCATAATGAGCCACATACTTAAGATATGATGTTTTTGTTGTTGTTATTCTTATTCTTTTTATTTATTTATTTTTTTGAGACGGAGTCTCGATCTGTCACCCAGGCTGGAGTGCAGTGGCACATTCTCGGCTCACTGCAACTTATGCCTCCTGGGTTCAAGCGATTCTCCTGCCTCGTCCTCCCGAGTAGCTGGGACTACAGGCATGTGCCACTACACCTGGCTAATTTTCGTATTTTTAGTAAAGACTGGGTTTCACCATGTTGGCCAGGCTGGTCTCAAACTCCTGACCTCAAGTGATCCACCCGCCTTGGCCTCCCAAAATGCTGGGATTACAGGTGTGAGCCACCATGTCTGATCTGTTGTTGTTATTCTTTTTAATGTCATTGTGGACAGATGCACTTTTTGGTCTTTACCATACCTGACTGCTCTGTAGTACTGACACTTTGCAAGGCTCCATTCTCAAAACCCTCTGTCCCCTTGGCTCCCATGATATTTCTCTCTGTTTTCCTCCATTTCTGGATGCTGTTTCCTTTTGAGAGGGAGCCGTTCCCCTCTGCCTGCTTCTCAGATGCCAGGGTTCCCAGTGTGTTGTCCCTGGACTCTTCCCTCCCCACACTCTGCACTCCTCCCGCGGTGCTGCTACTCCCAGCCATGACTTCGGTTACTATCCACATGCTGATGCTCCCCAAGCCTGTGTCTCTACCCTACATTCTATGAACTTGTGTATCTCCACTTGGCTGTACACATGAATTTCAAAGTCACTAGGTCCAAATTCAAAATCTTCTCCTCAAACTCTGTCCTTATCTCTGCTTTTTTTCTTTTTTTAATCTTTGTGATGATATCGCCATTTATTAAATTACCCTAGCCAGAAAGCTGGGAGTCTTCTGAGACTTCTCCCCCAATGCCCATGTGTAGGGTAACTACGTCAAAATAATTCGACCTTATAATGTTTTTCAAATCTGCTCCTTTCCCTCCATTCACTGCTATGTGTTTAGTTCAGAACTCGCCTCCTAACCTATCTCTGGGCCGCATTGCTGACAGCTATCTGTTGTCGCTGCACTGCTTCAAACTTGCCAACACTCCCCTTCCCTTACACTTTATTGTGAACAATGACACCCAGCTCCAGCTACCTCTCCAGTCTCAGATCCCGCCAGGCCCCTCTCCAATGCTCACTGTGGATCGCAGACCTCTGGGAGTGGGTGTTGGTAGGGAGTTGCCAGTTATTGTAAGAATTTCATTAATAAATGCATACACAAAGATGAAGATTGAAAAAATTATGTCTTTCACAGAGATGAGGTAAATATTACTCAATGAAAATATAAGTAGATATTGTTGGGACTGAAATACACAAGTTCATTTAAAAGTATAGTAGGCTGGTGTGGTGGCTCATGCCTGTAATCCCAGCACTTTGGGAGGCTGAGGCAGGAGGATCACTTGAGTGCAGGAGTTTGAGATTAGCCTGGACAACATAGTGAGACCCCATCTCTACAAAAAAATAAACAAAATTAGATGGGTGTGGTGGTACATGCCTGTAGTCCCAGCCACTTGGGAGGCTGAGGTGGGAGGATTGCTTGAACCCAGGAGGTTGAGACTGCAGTGAGCTGAGATTGCACCACTGCACACCAGTCTGGGTGACACAGCGAGACCCTGTCTCCAAAATAACAAAAAGGTGGAATATATTTTTCAGGCCAGGTGCAGTGACTCATGCCTGTAATCCTAGCATTTTGGGAGGCTGAGGTGGGTGGATCACGAGGTCAGGAGTTTCAGACCAGCTGGACCAACATGGTGAAACTGTCTCTACCAAAAATACAAAAATTAGCCGGGCGTGGTGGCACACACCTGTAATCCCAGCTACTCAGGAGGCTGAGGCAGAAGAATTGCTTGAATCCGGAATGCAGAGGTTGCAGTGAGTCGAGATTGCACCACTGCACTCCAGCCTGGGCGACAATGTGAGACTCTGTCTCAAAAAAAAAAAAAGAAAAAAAAAGAAAATATTTTTCAAATGTAAATGCTAGTCAGCAGTTTTGGGATTAAAACATAAGTTCATTTAAAACTGTTCTTCAATTCCCAATAGATTTTTTTGGGAGAAGGGGGTATCATATACTTTTTAAGAAATAGATTTTAAAAGGACAATTACTATAATGTGGAAGGCCATGACATTTGTTGACACTTAAAAGGAACCTGCATGCTTGAACAGGCCAAGCCCCCGTGCCCTAGTATGACCAAATTAAATGACTTGCAGTTTTGCTTCTGAGTCGTTGTGTCATTGTGTGTGGTGCTCCCTCCAGCTGTCCTCCTCTGCCAGACTAACTGCAGTGGATCCTTGCAGAGTCTGTGTAGGTGTTGCCTCCTCTGGAGAACCTTCTCTGACCCCTAGGTTGGGTTTGGAGTCCCACCTCTGGACTCTCTTAGCACTCCAAAGTTACTTCTAACTGTGGCCCTTATTATAGTGAGTTACTTGTTTGATTCCTCTCTGGGCTATGAATCCTCAGTGCCTAAAGAGGTGCTTGGCACA